TGTATTCCTCGAAGACGAGCCGAACTTTACGGATCGAAAACAAACCGAGACACGCCAACTGACTGAGTTCGGTGTGATTTTACGTTAAATGAACTGATTCAACTGATAAACTCTTAGATGCTGTCTGGTGAATGGAAATCGGTCAAACCCCAAGCCATCGAATGATAAGGGGATGTTCAAAAGTTTGTTGCAGAGGACGAACGACCTTGCCCTCCAAATTTCTTGATGTGATTATATCCCAAAGGAAAACTTAAGCGGAATTGCAGGACACGTTATCCGCAACCGTCTACGAATTTATGAAAGCTATTGAAAGGTGACACTTCCGTGGTCTTATCTATCATTGTTCTATTTTGCGTCGAGTCAAGCCACAGTCCATATCTAGGAGCAGTCTGAATGTTTCTAGTTGGTTCCTAGGAAGAAAACACAATATATTTAGGTTGGTCGATAGATATGTTTATATCCCATCACACTCACCTCTAACAGCATCTGACCCCAGGCATCTAGCTTCCAAATGATTGAGTTACACTCGAATGAGTTTTATAGTGACCAAAAACGTGGTGAACGGATCTCGCCAATTCGACGTGCTTTATCAAATGACACCATCTTGCTCAAAACGTTTGTTCGGCAATGACAGAAACACGACTTGTGTAAAAGGTCAAAGGAAGGATGTCCGGCATTAGTGGAACGTTATGGAACGGTCTGACAACTCCAATTTAGTAGAAGAATGAAAGCCAATGTAACCAGCAACCGACCAGCCCACTGAGTAATTCATCGGTGTCAAGAATGGTCGTTTGCAAGATGAACCAAGCCCTACATGTTTGACTCATGGCAGTTGAAATGTGGCAGATAAATTTTTGTGAGAGGATTCAAACTGATCACCATAAGGTATCCAGAAACAGTTTAAGGACGGTTTACTGCAGTGATGTTAATGAAGATATGTAATATCTAGTACCAAGCTGAATGAGGGGGATTCCATGCTGTTTGCAATCGCAGGTGGGTGATTGGTTGTGTGATCATCTGGGACAAGATGATTAGATCACTTTGGTAATCTGTGCAACAACCAATTTATTGACCGCGCAGAAGAACTGGTTATCCCGGATGCCACGGTCACTTTCTTACAACTTATAGGCTCCGATGAGTTCACTTTAGACTTTCTTTATTGAAAAACAGGATGACGCATCCAATTACGGACCTTATTCTATGAAAACGCGACCTACATACGGGGTTAGGGAGTTTTCTTGTTAGTCTGTATATAACCTGGGAAGACGTAACCCATCCAAAAACCATCTAGCCATCCTAATGGAAGTAGTAACACAAGGTAAAATTCGAATGGTATCCGATGTGAGTATCAACGCTTATCACTTTCATTTCCCAACTGAACTGATGCGTTTACTTTGGTAATTTTGGTACAGTCCGGCTTCATACGTTTTCAACCCCACCTACAACATATTTTTATTCCAAATTGGCAAATGCGACTGTCACTGGATAGAGTTTTTCCTGACCGGAGATTATAAATTCACTAAGTTGTCCCAAGACACCTGGCAGTATCTTTCCAGGTGATGCCGCTTGTCAAGATTCTGAATATGCACAATCAAAAACCAAAAACCAGTTTTGCTCTTTCTAAGGCTTCTCAAGTTTTCTGATTTCTATCACTTTTATTTTGCATTTGAACATCAAATTGGGCGTATATGTAACTTGATCGTTTCGGAAGACTCAATCGGATCTTGTCTGGATCTATCACTTTGACTTTAAATGTGCGGCACAAAGCCCCCTATTTCATATAGAACGAGTAAATTTATTCTATTGACACTTGGATATCTTAGATATCGTTTTCGCTAGAGCATTAGGCGGCGTTTGCACAGAAAATTCAGTTGAGGAAAGTTGTCAAAGAGGGATTCATCTACGCCTCACGTTATTACCAGCTTAGGCTGTGAATAAGAGTTTACCTAGGAAATATATTACACAGATCAGTTGATCGATTCGCTGACTGTAATGCAGCTAAACCTGAACCCGAACTTCCTGATATCCTTTACTAATCTGTTATCTGTCATCTTTTACAGCGATGTGCATCTCGAAGAAGCTACTTCAAGGACAGGTGATCGAGTGGTATCTCGACTTGTCTGCCCAGCTGCAAGTGCTAAGTGCACCCACGTGTGCATATCCGTACTACCGAAACAGTCCTCCTACGACTGTCATGAAATTTCAAACAATAGCATAACTTCAAGCTACACCAGTGAGATTACCATGCTTTTGAATGCGAGTCACAGCACATTCAGTGGGGAACAGACCAGAGTGAATATTTCTGCTAGTCCAAGTGACTGTTCCCGATCCCAGATTTCTCTGGTGAATCACTCTGAACTCAATGAGCCCTGGGAAAGTCCACTGCTGCATGATTCCGTAATGTCCGATTATCTCGGAGTGCTTAGTCCGTTACCTGCACCAGAACAATTTGCAAATGTTGAAAGCACTGAACTGAACATTCAAGGCAAGGTGATGGAGAACGTTGGCGTTCAAAGTAGTGTGTTAAAAACAGATTGTGTCCAGCGTACTACCGTATCGAGGGACCTAGAATCCAGTCGGCTATCGGTTTTAGATCCCATCCCAGAGTGTGACAGTCAAGCCAACAGCGACACGAAATCCTCAGCTCGAGGGACCGAGATAATCAATTCAGAACACCAAACAGCGGAGATAGATGGGCATGTATTCGACGGCCTGGTTACAACCACGATCGAAGACGAGATGAATGACCTACTGGTCAAAACCGAAGAAATGGAGCAAACAGTAGAATGGGTTGCAGCTCAACTCTGTAAAATTGATGGTTACACCACTCGTGACCTCATGGTTGACAGTACACGGATTCCGCTTCATTTGGCCTTTATCGATCAGGCAAACGAAGCTTTAGCACCTCTGGGTGGCCGGATTCGTCAAATGCTTCGTCAGATTAACCAGATCGAACAATCACCCGTATGCGGTGTGCATACAGAAGAAACAGCGCTGGTACAGAATCGGGTCAAACAAAATGCAGTGGGTGAGTTATCTGTTTGCTGTTTGGTCACGTTTGTTAACACAACACAACGTTCGCAGTGTGTGCGGGTTGGCTTTTTCGGAAGTGTTACCAAGTGCGCACTTTTCACTAAGCTGTCCGCTAAGCTATGCGGTAGATCATTACTGTCAATCTGAAACGTGTCGATCATGATGGTTCCTAGTATGAACGTGAACTGGGGTGCGGTTCATTTCCAAATGTGGCAGTTCTCTATAGGTAGAGTATACCCTGTCTCACTGCAGCTTGGCTTTTAGCAACACATACTACGAAGCCTGTGGTCTGGGACGAATAGTGAACAAAGGTCTGGAAATCGAATCCTAATGTCATTAAAATGAGAAGTAAACAGTTCAAGGAAGGCAAAAATGAAAGAAACTGGCTTAGGCGATTGGGACATCTGACAGTTTGCACCATCCTTCCAGCATTTTCTCTCATAAGCTATCCACAGGGACGTCTTCTAAGCAGGGTTGCATGGTAGTTAGATGCACGTATTTACCACGGCTAGTGTGCTGTTGTTCAAAACCATGATGTTGATAGTAATGAAGATGGGGTGGTAAGAACCAGCCATCTGAGAGAGTATTTTGGTAGTAGAGTGCCTCTCCAAGGGGAAATATCTACTTTGAGGAACATACTAGCGATTGCCAACTTTTTACTTTTTCTCCAGGAAACGAAACCATCAAGGATCGAATGAGAGATGCCTTTGGTGGTCGTTGGCTTGTTCGCTGAGCTGAGCAATTTGATTGCAAACGTTTCATCACCAATCGAGGTGACATCATCAGTGCGTTTTTGTGGATCGTAGTAGTGCGTAGCGGTGGGTTGGTGGTTGTGCCTTTCTATTCAAAAAAAGTCACCAATTTTCTGCCCACGAAGAAACATTGAGAGAGAGATTCCACTGCCTCTCTCCTGGATTGTTTCATCAACTCTCAAATCAAAGAACTTGTGAAATGAGTACGCCTAGCGCAACATTACAAAACCTTCCTTTACTGGAATTGACTTGGCTTGACCGGAGGTACAGCGTAAGAAGCACATAAATGAGGATTTGTTGGAACGTGTGAGAGCCTCAATGAAGAGTAACAAACTGCCACAGGATAAGCCAATGGACGACAGCTTAATAGTAGTAGTAGTTACCAGACCCAAAGGTGTCACCCTGTCGTGGTGGTCGAGCTTCTGTGCTTCAGTGATCCTGTGGGCTAGACTGGCTGGAAATCAGTTCCTAGACGTTCAACTATGCCATGAAGGCCAGTGAGGAGCAGCCCGACGAAGAACAGCAAGTCCCCGTACTGCGAGTAATCGTACTACGAGGTAGTATGGAGGTTAAAGTCGTACTGTTATCTGCGATAGGAGTGTGAAGACAGTAAGTCGTTGCCCCCAGGCGACAATCATGTCCATATTCATGGAAGCAGCGATGGTGCCTTCCCACAAAGAAGGACAGATTAGAAAAAGCTCTTGCAGCTCTTCACTCACCGGTCTTCTCCCTCATTACCTCCCAACCCATCGTACAATGCAGTACAATGAGCCCATCTGCCAATCCCCTAGCCACTGTTCCGTACCTCAACCGTCTCTCAGAAAAATAAACCGAAATAATCATTCACTAACCTCAAAAGATCTGAACCACTTTGCAACCTGTAATCTCCGTACTTTATGTTGAATTGGGAAACAGGCATTCCTTGCTGAAACTCTGCTTTCCCTCTCTATCGATATATGTTGTGTCTCCAAAACAAGCATACAAGACCCAACTTTGGTCGTGCTCCTCAAACCACTTAGGACGAGCCCAGATGTTCCACATTTCACACTTTGGGTATCCAGTGATCCTGACGCAATGGCTCCTAGTATCTACGGTGTGGGAGTTGCACTCAGCCCCAAGGCTGAACGCGCCTTTGCGCTGTGAGGTCCTCTGGCTCAATTAAGATTAACGCAGTTCAGTGCGATAAACGGTGTTTGCTTGTCGTATCAGCATATGGCCCAGCAGATAGCGGTTCTGAGACTAAGAAGGACGAGTTTTATCAAGATCTGTCACGACTGCTTCGGTCGTGAAGAAGAACGGATATAGTAATCCTAACTGGTGATATGAATTCCAAAGTTGGATGACTAAGTTCGGAAGAAACACAGTTAAGTGGTAAATTCGGAGTCGATGCTGAGATTAGGAATCATGTGGAGGGACTTCTTCAGCTGTGTGCGGACGATCGTCTGTTCCTGGCCACTACGAACTTCCAACAAAAACGTTCACACCGATTTAATTAGAGGCCACTACCACAAGACAGTTGTGGAATCAGTTGGGCCATATGGATATCAGCTACCGATGGAGAACCTCAATTAAAGATTGTCGTTCCTTCTGGGGTACGCAACTTGACTCTGCTCATGACATCGTGCGGGCCCGCTTAGCACTTCGCTTTCCGCCGGCACTACGCGTACCGAAAGATAGTAGCTCCGTTTGTCGTCCTTGACAAGTTTCAGTAGTGGAAGAGTATCGAGTTGATCTGGCTAGAAATCCACTGGAAACGCTCAGTTATGTGGATGACGAAGATTGCTTGGAGGATGAATGAAGGCTAGTTAAGGAAGCAACGTTTTCAGCTTTCAGGACTGTTTGTCTAGCCCATCGAACTCGACTCAATGAACACTGGATATCTTCGAGATCAACAAATCTTATTGCTGCCAGATAGAGAACACTGGTGAATTTTGAAGGCCCAGGAGATTGAGAAGGCCTTCGCTGCAGGCAACAGCCGGGCCTTGTTTCAAATGATTCGATCAACCGGTCAAAAGAAAGCAGATATCGGTGAGACAGTATGCGAAAAAGACGGAACAGCAATTCAATAACTCAGTTGCCTTCTTGAGCGGTGGACTGAGCACTTTAAAGAACAGTTCAGCTGGTCTCCTTCAACCCAACGCTGGAAGAACCTACTGGGCCTGAATGAATTATTGGCGCCAACCCACCATCAGCGACCGAAATCCAGCTTGAGATTTCAATCCTGAGGCGCAACAAGGCACCTGGCCCGAAAGGTCTACACCTTGCGCTCTTCAAAGAAGGTGGCGAGGTCGTGGTGAACAGTCTGACAACCATACTGAAGAAGAATCGGCCCAAAAACAGAATACCAGCCGAATGGCGCTTGTCGACCGTCGTCCCAGTTTTCAAAAAGGGAGGAAGTATGTCATGTGAAAACCATCGTAGTATCAACCTGGTGTCCGTCCCATCTGAGGTGCTCTCTGACATTATTTTGCGCAGGCTGATGGATTATCGGCAGTGACAGGTTTGCGAAAATCAAGCTGGGTTTCGCTCTGGCCAAGGATTCACCAACCACATCTTTACCTTGAGACAAATTCTTGAACAGCGCCACTCCTTCAGACGTCCCACGTTGATCGTTTTGCTGGATTTGAAAGCTGGTTTTCATTCTGTCGATCGTCGGCAAATCTGGCAATGTTTGGCGATCCCTTATGAGGGCACTGTGTGCGAGATCCTGTGGGCGCGTACGAGTATACTGGAAGCTCTTGCCTGTGTTCACCACGTCTACCGGTGTAAGACAAGGTGTAAGACATTTCCTCTTCAACTTTATTGATATAATGCTTGAACTTCCTTTGCCTGCCTCTAAAACTTTGGGAGTCAAAATGCTCCCGGGACGTTTCCTCGCAAACACTGAGTACGCAGATTCTTCAAAAATGCAAACTATCTTAAATAACCTAATTAACGCTGGCGAACGGTTTGGCATGTGCTTCACACCGGCATAGTGTAAAGTGCTGCCACAAGAATGGATGGGATCAAACACCCACCTCGTGCTTGCAGGCGAGCCAATTGACGTGGTAGTTGAATTTGTTTATCCGGACAGCTATATAGGTCCGGGTGAATTGGCTAAAGATGAGATTATTTCTCGAATCGGAAAGGTCAGGGCAGCTTTCATTAAACTCCGGCACCTATGGCGCCGACGTGACGTCAGTTTGTAGGTGGAGAGAAGAGCACTGCGATGGTGCGATCCATACAGTTTCATGAATCAGAAGCATGGTCCCTGCGCACAGAGGACATACTGAAGATGTTTGACCATCTGTATCTCCGAAGCATTGGTCAGGTCTGGTGGGAACATCGAATTAACAATGATGAGGTACGCTGGACGTTCTTCGGAAGAGTGAACTCCTCCGCGATAGGTTAACCAGTTCCGCTGATTAGGACATGTACTCCGCATGCCTTAAGACCGTTTGCTTCACAAAGCTCTTTTTCCAGCCATGCGCTGAGTGGAAACGACCGAGAGGCGGACAGTGTATGACCTGGCAACGAATTATGAATACACTGACCGGTAAAGTAAGTCGGGTCGGCAACTGCCCTCTCCCTGGATGCGGATCCCGGGACTCAAATCACCAACGGTCAATGACATTGGCATAAATGGCGCAATCATTCAGTCGGTGGCGTTCGTGCATCAACGCTATCGCCTTCGATTCGTAGCTACCCGATTTCCGAGCAAACTGAACATGCCTTCGCTTCCAAGGCTTGGTTGTACGTCCCAAACGCCAGTTTTCCGGTGATCGAAACTGTGGCACCTGGAACCAATGTGCCTACGGTATACGGTTTATAGCTTGCAAATTGAATTGAGGTGATTGAGTAGTCGGACTTTTGCTCCGACGGTACACCAGTAGTAAACGGGTGCACACCCTAATGATGATAATCACACTTTGTGGCTCTTATCTGAGTAGGCAGCACAAAGGTGACGCAAATGAAAAAAGTGGTGACCATCATATAACCACCACGTTGTAATTGGTTGTGACTATTCGTAGCCTAGCACAGAGAGTGAGAGAGAGAGTTCGGAAGACTGGAGTGTTAGCAATGTTGTGAAATGTAGGTAGCTCGGGTGCGTTGTTTGGTTGTTGGTCTGTTCGCCGAGCTTGGCAGTTGGATTGCAAACGTTTCATCACCAATCGAGGTGGCATCGTGAGTGCAGGGTTGAGTGGGTCCCACTTAACCCACTCAACCCTGCACTGACGATGTCACCTGGATTGGTGATGAAACGTTTGCAATCCAACTGCCAAGCTCGGCGAACAGACCAAAAACTAGACTGGAGTTTTCCACAACGACCTTAAAATTTCTGTTTGCAACACGTGCATCGAATTAATATATCAACACTTGCGCAGACTGAATGTGATATGGTTTTGGTCTACTCTTCCACGAGGCAAAACCATCTAGAGTACATAGTTCGGTATCCTCAAGAGGGAATACTGTAGATGAGAGGTGAAGTGAGATTTTGGTCGAAGCTTAGATCGCGAACGATGAAGTAGGTTTCAGTAGCCGATCATGTTTCTTGTAAAGGATCACCTTAACGTGTTGTATTTTTATAAAAGACAACTGCGAAACAATCATTCAAGTCCTTGGGTGTTAACGTATTGACTCATATGGCCTTCAGAGCATACCTCTAGACCCTAAAAATTCCATCTTGGCATTCGATACAGGGCGAAAAGAGCGCCACAACAGTTAGTCCACTAAAAATGACAATGAAACAACACAAAGATGAGTGACAAGGGACGAATGCCGCTCTCGGCCAATGAAAATCGTCTCACAGTAGTCTGGTTTTAAAAAAATCTACTTGCTACACAGGAATCACCTGACGCAACCAGTTAAGCTGACTCGGAGGTCTTTAAGGTGTACTACTGAGGGTCTGTTTAAAAATTCCAGATCTCAGTAAGAAAACAGAAATGAACTACGAAAAGACCTTTGGGACGATACTGGAGATTGCTTCTGAATTGACGGAATCCGGTTGAATTTTCAGTTCTTCCAAAGTCAAACGTCGACACAGCCGTACAGTACTTTTGTCGAAGGTTCGCGGAAACAGCAGCTGATCTTTTGAGATTAAGTCTTTAACGTTTTGAGATCAGAACGCTGTCCAATGGCCTACACAAAACAATGGTTTCCGTCACTTAAGGGAAGATTCTGTCCAGGCATCACCGACGAAACACCGTTTGCAGGAAAATGCTGCGAAGTGTGCGGTTACCCGACGCTTTTCGTGTATTTAAGTACAATTTTACATAAAATTCCTAGATGTTTCAAAACAGAATACATGCTGAGAATTCGAGGACAACTCTGTCTTAGCTACTGTTGTCAAACTGGTTTGAGGTCATCCATTGCAAGTGGAATTTGACGCAACCAAACAAACACCATCAGTGCAACAGGATGGTCACTGCAGAGGGACATCCTCAGCTATGGGTGATTGTTTTTCACTCTGTGTCAATCTTTTTTCGATGGTCAGGTGGAGACGGTTGAGAATATATCCAGGTTTCATGGTAAAATCCAAACAGTTTGGGCTCTTACCATGGCGTCAACCACGCTCGACTCATGGGCTTCTGTAGTTCAGCACGCTCCCATTTATGGAATACTTTATTTGAGTTTCACAGTGCACGTAATTGCTCTACAGATTTTTTATTTGCAAGCCTACCGACTGTGTCTCACAGAATGAATACACTTTCGACTTTGAGCCCGATAAATTGCAACGACACTATCAGGTGTTAACTCGATCCTCTCAAACCCTTGTTTACACTGGGAAGACTATGGAGTCGTTTTGTACCACAGACAATAATTCTTTAACATAGTACACCTAGCGTATGGCTTTCTACACTGAGAGTACCTTTCAACTTTATCATCCTTATCCATTTTCGTCTGCAGGCGAGAGGTAGTTTTAGTGCAAACGGTCTAACCGAAAAGTACTTCAGCACTTAGAATGCCTCATGTCTATTCCTCTTACTACAGGGAGTTTCGAACGGCAGGCTTATGTTGAAGTTTAACTGATTAGCTTGAATGAAAGCAGTCAAGACTCAGTTTCTGGCCGAATTTCGCCGAGTCATTTTGCCAATTTACGAAACAATTCATTTGATTACACGTATGAATAGAGGAAAATGGGGTTTCTACAGTCAGCCGGTAGCTAGATTTTGCATCACCTTCAGGCTCAGATCATGGGCGGGAAAAATCGCAGCCTGCTGAAATTCAATCGATCGACGAGGGCTGACATTGTTCAAGTAACTATGATTTCTGTTGTCGTTATGGCGCTCGGTCCTTGAGCTGTAGCTGCGGCGAGTTTACTGATGTACAATTCCAAGTCAGCCCTTTTCAATATCATTATCGCGTTGTTACTGAACGAAAAATATGGCGTGCTGGTTGCAGTGAATGGCCTCAGATCGTGTCAATGTCACTCTGTTAGTATTGGAGACTTTGGTTTGTTGAAAAAGAACATTCCAAAACAAAACATCAGGAATGTGAGTTTCCATAAGCATTGGCTTAGTAGTGAGAATCTGCCCCAAAGTACACAGAATCTGTCCTAGAACTATGGGTTTAAGTCTGTGACAATGACGAGGCCCAAGCTCTGTGATAAGCACAAATGACGCAGATGATTGGAGTCGCTGTTAGGTGTTCTTCGTAACCTGAACAAGTACATGTTTGTTTTCAGCACCCATGTCGTATCACCTAGCTGCACTTTAACATTTGAGGTCACACCGTAACCAGATGTCAAACCGATAAGTGGGTAAGATAAAGTGCAGCCACCTGTAGTATGAAACCTGAAAGTCTTGTTACCCCACTGTGTGCAACTGTCCAGACTGGGGCTTAAGCGGGCTTAGTGTGCTAACCATATATCTGTCACCGACAGTAAGCCGGAAGTTTAACGTGTTTTGATGGATCGATGCTCACCGAAGAGATCCTGGCAGTATAAGTTCCTGGAAAAGCAATGTTCAAGATAGCAGATTAGAGGCTCAGTCCCTATCAACTCAAGTTAACAGGTGGCCTAGTCAAAGTAGCTAGGTACTTAAGCAGGTGCAGTGAAACATTTTGCTCGTAGGGCTAGCAGACGTGGATTGTACGTGCAGTGACGCAGGTGGGCATATTTTACTATCTTCTGGATTTGTACTGCCACGCGATTTCACCTAGGCAATTCTAGACGGATTGCACGACGAGAAATGACAATACGTACGAGTTTCCGGGATCGACTGAAACACATGCTGGAAATCTGTTGCTAGGCCGCCGGGCTCAAACGTACCATTTATCTTGCTTGATAAATGACCTTTAGTGAAGCAGTTTATCAAATTAAGCAACCGGAGTTATGTTAGATCCTTTGTCAAACTATTCACACAAGTGCTAAAATTACTCTTTGGTGGTGCTGACATAAATCTACTTGTGTATCCCTCTCGGTCTACTCAACCGTCCAAACGAACACAGTTGTCCGCAGAATCCCGTCACGTAACCCAGATTTCTTCACCCAGAATAAGCTTACATTTTCTTTGAACTTATGTTTACGTAGTTACATGACCCTACAAATTTGACTAACCGACTGTTTTAGCGAAATGCACTCGTTTGCAAACCAATTCGGCTTTGCGGGAAACTCACCCGGAAGCCAGCTGAATCTCTCGTGTATGATGTTTTTAAGCAACTAAATGTATTGCACATGGCCGCCTCACTTATTATTTGGTACGACATTCGAGATATCGCGATGCATGTATGGACGTAATACACTGCTCATAAGGTTGCTGAAAATTCTTCGACAGCCCACGGCCGATTTCGCTCTTTTCGGGACTCATCGGGTTGGGTCACTTACCAATTTTCAGTCAACCTCATGTTCCACTTGAACCCAAATTGTTTTATTTGTATACCTCGTCTTCCTCTTCATATTCAGTCATTACACGTAAATCCAAACCAGCGTCCTACAAATTTGTGTCAACCTGAATAGCCAATCGTGAAACTGGTTTGAGCCTTCAGAGCAGGGAATATTAAGGCAAACGTTGACGGGTTCGTTTCAGATCATGAAAAGTTAGTTCACAGCGAATTTTTAAAGGTTCAATGTGCAGGTAATATTCAGTCGCCAGCGGATTCCAGGAGTTCGCTTTCGTGCAACGGTCCACAATTGGTACGGCGATCACTGGACGATCAGTCCATCGTACATACCAACAGGCCTCACATACAGACTACTGGTTTCTTTGGAAAGCTAGACACTCTCCTGACTGCTCCTGATTTTTTTCGGTCTGCCGTGATCTGGCCAGTATGTGCGCACCCAGCACTACAGGAGAACCACCCGTGCAAGTTGAAGCCTAGCCCCTGTCTTGGTGGTTTACTGTGGCTGGAAGGGACCTGTGGAAT